TATATATATAGTCCTAAAAGAGTTCCTGAAGTGAAAGAGATTTACCTGCTGTCTGAGAAAACGTGGAGGCAACGACTTTTGAAACTGTTTGGAATAGCCTGAGATTAAAGAGGGACGCACGGCAGCAGAAGCCTCTCCTTCCAGTTGTGGGGGTACAGTAGGGATTTCCTCCCCTCTGGGAGCTTCCATGTGAGGCAGAGACAGAGACAGGTGGGGCTCCTCTACTGTAGGAGAAAGTATAGGCATCAACAACTATGCTATCGATTATTAAGGAGCCAGTGACATGCCAAAACAAAGATATAATTAGTAAAAAGAGCTACTGAGTCTTCATTCTGTGTACACAGAAGCTTCTAACAATAAATATATTTCATTAATGGCTTTAAACTCCCTAACTTTTCTGTGCCTCGCAATTAGATTCCGGGTCAAAGGCCRTCACATTTTTATGACGTAGCATGAGTAACCCAAAACGTAAACAGCCATGGCGCGGTATATAGAAACTGAAGAAGTTAGCAATGTAAGTGAAGATTTGAGTGATTTCTCTTCAGTCTTTGAAGAAGAAGCTAGTTCGAGTGGTTCTAATGACGGGCTGCAGCCCTATTTATATGAACCATATCGTTCAGGAAGCGACGGTGACTCAGACGTWTGAAGAGGATGGGTCTGACGGTGAAGGATTGCAGCCTGACCTTAGCCGTTTACAAAACACGGAATGGTAATGCATTAAAACGATTAATGTATCTAATATTTATTCACCTTTATTTCCGRTTAAAGCTAAAAAATACAGTCACTTTGACAGCTAAGATCATGGCCGATAATGTAGTTTGAGATTTAACAGTTTAAAATGAATTATCGAAATGGTCCCAAACTCTCACTAATAAAAACACTATGTAGAAAAACTCATATTGACGTTAATTTATCACCAGAAATAATTTAAAAACAATCCAACATCTGTATGGTGGTATATTTACAGCGTGTCTCAAGGCTAGCCTGTATTAGCGTCCATAGTCATCTTGTATAGCTAATAAACACTGGCAGTGTATATTATGCAGCAATATGAATTCACGTTGGGTATATATTATATATCATCTCAAACACTGTAACCAGCTCTGATGAGGTTTAAATGACACAAATCTACAACGTGACTTACTCTTTTCTGGGCGAGTTTTCCAACAGTAGATTCCCTGCTTGTTTTTGATGTGCTGGCACTCTCTTCAGCTGTCGATTTTCTTTTAAAAATTGTAGGGATAGCAGTCTGTTTTAAACTATTTTTAATCGTAATTTTAAGCCAAAAGATTCATGTAAACGTGGCGACTCCTCGAAACAGTCGGCAGTGAAATGCTCGCTACAAAGAGCAGAAGACGGTGTAGGATTCCAATTGTCCCTCGTTCTCTGTACTTGTCTTGTCCATTCCTCATGACGGGTTTCTTCTTTTGGGAAAGTGAACAGGCTTACTTGTTCACTGGGGTAATTAGAACACCCAGCTGTGACACAACGTCTCGGCATTTTATCTAGTAAAAGTACAGTGATCTCACTACTAGGCGCGTACTTTCTACAGACAGAGTTACTCGTGTAACGTCATCAAGTGCTGTCACGGTTATGCCGCTGCTGACACACAGTGGCCAAGTTTTGTAATCGCTGAACTCACTTAAAAACCAGGTTGCTTATAATTACAGTTTTGTTTGAACAAATGCAACTACAGTTGTGGTCAAAAGTTTACATACACTTGTAAAAAAACATAATGTTATGGCTGTCTTGAGTTTTCAATAAGTTCTACAACTCTTATTTTTCTGTGATAGAGTGATCGGAACACATACATGTTTGTTACAAAAAACAGTCATAAAATTTGGTTC